GACAGGCAAAGACTCGTCACTAAGAGGGCTGTTGCTGGGCATATTGCTGTTGGTAGTACTGGGCGTAGTTCGCTGCATAATCCTGTGAGCCGTAACCTGGGTAGCCTTGCTGGCCCCATTGCGCGCCATACCCAGGAGCGCCATAGCCACCGTAAGCTTGCGGTGGCCGATACCCCTGGTTTTGTGGAGGATTGTTGGATTGCCAGGACTCTGGTCGACGCCAAGGTGGAATGTTGGACCCGCCTGCAGTGATGTCATGACCAGCACTGGGGACACCCCACGAGCTCTTGGCAGTATCACCGCCTGTGCCTCTGCCACTCTCGCCAAGCTCTGCCATCAAGCTAGCGTACTCAGAATCGAACCCTCCCTTGTTCATAGGAGGCGGGCTGCCCATAGCGATAGCGTTGGGATCCTTGTTAACAGTACAGTCGCGCGCCATGTGGCCTGCACTACCACAAACACGACATATGATGTTAGCTGTGAAGTTGCGCTGTTCTGGACAGTCGTATTTTCGGTGACCGAGACCACCACAATTCTGACAAATCTGGTTTTCGTCGTCGCGAAGGGTACCGTTCAATGCAGCAAGCTCGCGGAGCTGATTGCGCTTGTGGTCATTCTGACCCTCGGGAGTGGAGGCAGCCTGAGAAACCTTCAGTAAAATATCGATGATCACAAATTGGACTTCTTACTGTTTCAATGACCCTGTTAATCATCTTCACGCATGCTGCAACTTTCTCTTCGGAATCAGCGAGAACGAGACAGTGGAGATCTTCTTCTGCATCATCAGCATACTGGTCAGGACGAGCTTTCCCTTCCTTCACGCTTCCCTTGCCACGGATACTAATTTTGGCACCACTTTCTCTCTCCATCTTTTTCAAACTGTTGCCACGAGGACCGACAAGAAGACCAAAGAAATTGATTTCAGGAAATTCTTTGACAGGAATATAAACTTTTTCGGATGGACGTTGGGAACGTTTTTGCTGGTGATATTCGACAGGAGGCCGAAAGTTGGGGTCATTCTTCATAGCGCGATCGACGAGGCGAATCCGCTCGTCTTCGAGCTTTTTGCGATAGCGGACCTCGCGGGTGTTAGTACGGCGACCGTGGCCATCATATGTGGGTGGGGGCGAGGGTGATCTGACGCCAGAATGAGCATATGCGTTTGCAGAAGTCGAAGCATCATCTACTTACCGCTCACGCTCGGGCGGAATAAAATCATTTAGACGCAGCTTGCGATTAATCTCTTCCAGCCTAAGGTGAATTGCATAATTGTCGAGCTGTGCCTGAGAAACGCCGGCAGCAGAGATGGCAGTGGGCAAACCAGGGATGTCTGTCTTTGCTTCTCCCCAGCGGCTGCGCCTTTTACGAGCACCATTAGCGTCAGCTGTGGGTAAGTGAAAAGCACACGGTATCAGGGTTAGTAACACAGTCAGTTAGTGATTAGTAAGATTGTAACAGCAATCGCAACAGACGGGCTGCCAGGATCACCAGCAAATCTCACAGGACCTGCTATAGAGAAATGCTTGGCAAGGAAGCACGACTTGGGAAGTCGGTGTTCAAGAATGATGGGCTTACCTTGAGAATTGGTGGGGGTCTCCTCCCTCCCCCTCCTCGAGTCTTGGTCTTGATTGGACTGTTTTGGATAAGCAGAGGGGGATGGCTGGGCAAGCTGCGGACGCGCAGTTTCTTCTGCGGGCGCGGGTCCAAACCGACGACGGGTGCCCAGGGGAACTGACCGAATATTTGTCAGATAATTCAAAGTTCTATCACAAAAACTGCACCGACCTTCATTGGTTCCTGTAACCTCGCGAGTAGCAGGTCTCCACATTTTTTATGTCAACAAGAAAAGACTCGAGAGCGTAATGGCGACTGCAACGAATTGGAAGATGAGCAAGATGTAAATCAATCTCCGAACCCTGTCTCCAGTTGTTTATGACTCCGCTCGAAATGAGCTTGCTGACAAATCAGCTTTGGCACCCAGGCTGGTACTACTTTTAACTCGACTGTACAATTATTTTGAAGTCCAACGCTTCAAGCTCTTCAAGCTTCAAGTTCTGGTGTCAGTTCCTCCATCAAATCCCCAAAAGGACTCACCATGATTATTGGAACGAGCCCGGTTCCAGTGCGGTCATGAAATGCAACCGCACTCTGTGGCTACAAGCCAGATTGCGAGCTTGTCAGTAGCCGCGTGTCTCGATTAACCAAGTACAAAGTACTGGCAGCCCCTTTCCGGTCCTCCTACCTGTCTATCCTTCAGAACATGGCGCGTGCAGCCGATATACTACTCAAGCTACTGTCGCTGTCATGTATATTGCCCTTTGTTCTAGGTACTACAGCCGGTCGTCACCATTCCGCTCTCTAACTATTCATTCCCTACTCCACACCTACTTGGTCCCGGCCCTTGTCTTCCTGCGACCGATCCTTTGAAGCGACCTGTACATTGTGCCCGATTGTGCGCCTGCATAGGCCACTGTCTTATCTACCAAAAGCTTCTGTCTATAAAACTCACTCACTAACGTTTTCAAACGCTGAGCATCTTCTATCCCATTGTTACTACCAAATGTTAAAGCAAACATTTCGCTCATGCAATTCGTGATCAGTACAAGGCCAAAGCTCGAAGTGCGTCCTTATTTTGAATGTTTTAAGCAAAAGGAAGGGCAGCTACATCAATGTTCCATGAAAAATTGTCGAGTTTTCGACACACCCGGTTTGTGTCACGTTTTTAACTGTCCGATACTCGGGGAGTCAATAGCTGTCAAAAACTGCAGCAGACCATCCAAGCTGACACTAGTGCTATATCACGGAAGGCTCGACTCGGAAGTGACATCCAAAAATTCCAGACAGTTCTCGTAGTATGAGAGGACCTCGTGGTGACTCCTTCCAATGATTGATAGAGACTGTTGCAAGCCTTGTGGGAGCTGAATTCGCCCTGAACACATGTTGTATGACGGTTCAGAAACTGCTATCAGTTGCGAGGTTGAAGTCACCTTACGACAGAAGGACAAGTTGGTCATGTTCGTGGCTTCCCGATTGACCGATTCCCTTATTTGCAGGATAAGCTTCACTGCCCCAGCAGCAGCAACAAATAATGCCAGGATGCGGCGACTTCGACAACCGTATCAATGTTGGCAAAGTGACCAGAAAATCAGTGGATACAGATCAGAATTTCGCAAGCAGTAATGGCGGTTCTGGTTGACCATTGAGGTAAATTTCGAGAGCCGCAGGGTTCACCTGAGTGCTGAGTCCGAGACTCGAGTCGATTGCGCGTTGGGTTAATCACTGCTGAAAGTTGGATGCAAACTTGAAAACTAGCGAGATTGCCTGCTCGTCCATGACGCATGATGTCTTGTTGGCCAGTACATATAAGTGTAATTTCTCGGAGTTTCTCGGAGTGAGCAGTTTTTAGTGACGTGGGTGTCAATGGCCCACAGTACTTAGCCCACGCCGAGACTGGCGCGGTCACGTGCATGCACAAACCGGCGATGTGCAGATTGCATTCAACTTCGCTGCAACTCATTCACTGAACTGCCAGAGGCTGTCTCGTGATACCCCTTCTTTTCTTGTGATTTCTTTGACTATTTCAGGATATGGGTGTGGCGGGACTTTGGGAGGTTTGTTGCATGAGTTGACACAAAGTTTTGCTCAAAGTCACGGTCTACTTAATAGGTGCTACGACCCGCTGGACAAACACAGTCATTAACACATCTATCTGTTACCCAGGGATTTGAAGCAAATGCTGGTGGTTTACGAGGCTTTCGCATAGGCATCGATGCCTCAATTTGGTTCTTCCATGCCGCGTACGGTAAAGAAGGAGAGAATCCGGAATTGCGCACACTCTTCTTTCGCTGCTCCAGACTCATGAGTATGCCTCTCCTCCCACTCTTCGTATTCGATGGTCCAAAAAGGCCTTCTGTCAAGCGCGGGAAGAGAGTAAGCGGCAACGCGCACTGGCTTACCACTGGGATGAAAAACATCATTGCTGCTTTTGGTTTTGAATGGAGAACGGTGCGTGTATGCGGAAAGTGACGACGAAAAGAAGATTTATGATGCATAGGCTCCAGGCGAAGCTGAAGCTGAGCTTGCATACCTGAATCGCATCAGAGTCATCGATGCTGTCCTCTCCGATGATGTCGACAACTTTCTATTTGGTGCCACTATGGTCATCCGCAAGTAAATCCCGTCACCCTGAGCAAATTATCAAATGCTGACTCTCGGATAGCCCTAGCAATACGCTTTCCGGAAACCGTGCGCACCCAGTGAAAAACTCTGATGGACGTGATGATGGAAACCACGTCGTGACGTATCGCGCCGCTGATATCCTCTCCCACGACGACATCTGTCTCTCGCAAGGAGGCTGTATCCTAATTGGCCTCCTCTCTGGCGGAGACTACCATCAAGCTGGTGTTCAAGGCTGCGGGAAGCTCATTGCTGCTGCCCTAGCACGTTGTGGATTCGGAGATCGACTGCTAAAAGCTGCCAGCTCCCTCAGCCGTGAAGAGCTAGAGAAATGGCTTGACACGTGGCGTGACGACGTGCGCGAGGAACTGCGTACGAACAAGAGTGGCCTCATCGGATCGAAAAAGCCTGCACTCGCAAAGAAGATTCCTGATGATTTTCCTGATATCGATATTCTACTATCCTACACCAACCCTATCACGAGCGAGACAGAGGGTAAACCTACGCGAGACATTAATTGGGAACAGGAGCCTGACATTGGTAAAATCGCTGCACTTTGCGAACTGTACTTCGAATGGGGTGTGAAAGACGTGATCATCAAGCGTTTTCGTACAGTTTTGTGGCCAAGTGCCGTGCAACGTATCCTGCGGCGTGGGGCGATGGAAAAAGATGAGAAGAAGCGTAAAGGTTTATCGATGAGCCCTAAAAAGAGCAAGACAACAGGGAAACTTGCTCCAGGCACGCCCTCGAAGATGATTACAAAGTACTTTTCGTCGATGAAGCTCCACTCTCCAACCAAAGGCGACCGGGAGGAGCAAGAGCATAGTGATACTGAATCCGAAGCAGAAGAAGATAGGCTGATTGTCAAGATTCACTCCTCGCGACGGCACGCGTCTACGGATGGAATTCTTGAGTATCGACTGGAGATTGCGCCTGCGCAGCTCGTACAGTTGGCTGGGGATGGTGTTCAAGGAGTTAGGCCCCCGATCGAAGTAGATGCCGCTTTCGATGACACCGAAGGCGATGATGAGGATGAGGATGGCGGAAAGCAAAAGGGCAAGAGCAAGGGAAAGAAACCTCCACTAGACCCTGAGAGCCACCTTCGTGTATGGATGCCAGCATGTATGGTGCAGATCGTAGAGCCAGAACTCGTCGAAGCCTTCGAAGACATCCAGCGCAGAAAGCTGGAGAAAAAGACCAAGCGATCGAACAAGACAGGATGGGAAGAAGAAGGCTGCTCTCATTGTGCAGGGAGATAGCGATGGAGATGCCCTTCCTGTTCTGGCCCCTGCGAAGAAGAAACCTACCCGTCCGAAGAAAGCGGTAGCAGGCCGGGAGGACAGCGGGGTCGCTCCTCGCTCCCTTCCAATCATCAACGCTTCTGACGATCCTTTCCTGGAGCCCAAGGATGCTGTCCGTGCTAATATATCACGGCAGTCCCAACCTGGTTCTAAGAAACATACGAAATCGTCTGACTCAGATTCCCCACAATCCTATATAACCAAGTCTCCGAGAAAATCTCCGCAGCAAACATCTCCGCGCTCGTCAGGCTTAACTAGGTCCATGGGTTCAACGTCATCTATACAGCCAATGCGCAAGCTTAACGACATCATTGATATCTCAAATATGACGGAGAGGAAAAAGAAAGATGTTTCCACCTCACAAGACGACAGCGATAAAGATGCTGTCTCTCGTTCATCCCCTCCAAAGAAGACAACTGCCCGCCGGAAGAAAGCAGTTGTGGAACCCCAGGCCACCATGCCATGCTCCTCGTCCTTTCCCGATGTCAGGTTTCATCAGTACTTCTGACGATCCTTTCATAGAGCCCATAAATCCCTACTCACGCTCATATGTCCCAGCAGTCCTCACAAACCGGCTCCAAGAAGCATACCAAATTGTCCGATTCCGAATCCCTCCAATCCGTATCCAAATCTCCTAGGAAAACGCCGCAGCGGACATCTAGCTTGATCACGCGCCCGAATTCACCATCACCTGTGCAGCCGATTCACAAGCTTGACGATATCATTGATATCTCTAGTGATTCCGATGTACCATTACCACCCACAAAACTTTCTGTCAAGGCACCCCTACTGCTTGCCAGAGAGAAAGCCAAGAAGGGGAACAGTTTATCTCATGTCAAAAGCAAGCGCCCTGGCCTCGAGTCGACATTCAAGGGCCAATCAACGAGAGTAGCTGTGGCAGAGAACGACATCATTGATCTGACTTGCTGAATCGATCGTTATAAGGGTTGGTTGGTTGTACAACTAAGCTTGTATGTGTATTAGACGGATCTACGGGATATACCCTCTGTTTTGAATATGAAGTATTGTCAGCTAATAGTCATTCTTCACGAGTTCGTCGATCTTAGAATGATTCTTCCACCGGAGCTACAGTTGATACACCCTGGCTGCTGTAGAACGGTGCCATGATGAATTCATACTCACCAGGTAATTAATGGCGGGAAGCAAGCAGAAGTGCCAGTTTATGGAGTTAGCTCGTCTGAACCCTGATGGTAGGCCATATTGGCACATCATTGTGATGACCAGTGTCTGGTCAACCTGTCATATCACAGTGATAATGAAGGTCGTGACTCACGGAATGCGATTGACACTATACAGTAAGCAAACTAATACGAGGATGACGCAAGTAAAGCGTTCTAGCTAAAACCTTCAGTAGACCCTCGCTCTGACTTGACTGAAACGCTCAGTTGTCTCCTCGAATCCGTGGATAGATTTCTTCTAAGGACCAAAGTGCTTTCTCGTAGCAATTACAGGCTTTGTTGGATAAAAGCTGCGCCTGGTACCATTCGAAACTC